GGATATGAACCCTGCCTTCCTTAAAGACCTTTACATGCATCACACTTCCTAGCTTTATTAATTCAAGGTCAATGTAGGTTTTACAGAATCTTAAAAGTAGAAGCTTTTACCAGTCTAATGATTTTGAATTAGAATGTGCTTTAATCGGGGAACCTGGGTGGCTCAGTTGGTCAAGCGTGGGACTCTTGGTTTCTGCTCGGGTCATGATCTCAGGATCGTGAGATCAAGCCCCATGCTGGGCTGGAGTCTGCTCAAGATTCTCCCTTTCCCTCCCTCTCTGTCTCCCCTGCCCCAACCCATGCTCTCTCTTTCTCTAAAACAGATAAATAAATAAAAATTTTAAAAAAGAATATGCTGGACATAACTAATAACCTGGACAGTGTACAGATCAGTTCACAGATCCATAGCTTCATTTCATCTGAAAAGGGCACCAAATTCTACAAGCACTCCAGATACATCTGTTCTACACAAAATACTAAAACACTCTTGCATTTCTTCCAGAGCTGTGTTAACACCATGCATATGAAAAATTTTCCACTTACTAAAGCAACAACGTCTAGCAATTGTGAACCATACGCTGTTAAATCTAAACTGGGTAATTTCCATGACCAACCTGTTTTTTTCAGCTTTGCTAAAAATATGCCTGTATCTCCTCATATTTAAAATGGTGCCAGTTGCTGAAAATCTCCCACCGCGCAAGTAAGTCAACACATGAAAAAGGCTTAAAATAAGCAGGGCTTGGAATCAAACAAAGAGCTGAAAGGGACCTTGCTTTCTAAACTCAGTACTTCTGCAGTTAATTTCTTCATTTTTATTCTATCTTTTCTGTTGAGATGCTGGGGTACATATTAGTGCTGTTCACTAGTACTCCCACCTCTTTTTCTAGGCACATAGTAGGATTATCTTCCTCACTCTCTTTGACTGGCTCAGCCTGCTGCTTGCTCTAGAAGTATGTGAGTGCTGCTCTATGCTCTGCCGCTCTCCCTTCCACCACTGCGGGGTCCAGCGATGTTGGAAGCCTCAGTTAGCCTGAGTCTCTGATGAGGATGACCTGCAACCGAGTCTCCACACCCAACTCTCAACAGGCAAGCTAAGTGAAGGCAAAAGAACTTTTGTTGTTTTAAGAAACTAAGATTTGGGGTTTTATTGTTGTTGAGGCTGCCACTACTGTATAACGTTGTTTTCTTGCCTTGTAAAGTTTCCTTCACATTCTTTAGGTGAAGGGAAATACAAATTTCCAAATTAGGGAAGTATGACAGACAGTATAGTTGACAGAAGGTCAGGAGGTCTGCATTCGAATGGACCTGTTTTTCATCATTCTCTGCACTTTGCCTGCTCTCTGATCCCTCTTTTTCTCAGCTGTAAAAAAGAGACGATAGCGTAAGTGTGCTCGACAGTTTGCCAAGTGCCAAGCAGGACGCCAAACCATAGATGATGTTCAATGACAATAGGCATTTTTGAGAAGGGTAATAACAAATAGACTAAAAATCTAGAAGAATATATCCATGCAGGAAGGACTGAATCTGAAGAATCTGCAGAAATGGGGGGATAAAACCTGCCATTTATCCCCTCACTTCTCCTTGTCTCCCTGCAGACTCCCCCCTAGTCACGAGCACACCTCTCTATCTCTTTCTGTGTGCCTGATGCTCTCTGCCCTCCTCACACTCTCCTGTCACAAACTGCTCTCATTAAATCATTCATTAAAATAGCTGTGTTTTTGTAAGAATTAACTTACATTAGAAGACTAAAGCTCCAACGTGGTATTTTGAGCCTTTGGGTGGAGAAGGGCAAGGGGATACCTTTCACCTGAACCCAGGATGGCAGAGAGGATGCCTCTAGCTTGTTAGGTCTGCTAAGCCAGACAGGTCTCCTGGTTAGTCTTTAGAGAGGACTTTGATGAAGCTCTCCGGAGTGTGTGGGGTTGTGGGGGGGCGGGGTCGGTACCATGATAGTTCAGCGGGGTATTCCCTGGGCTCAGGACTGGCCATGCTAGAGTGGGGTGTCTGCATGACTCTTAAAAATGTATAGGCACTTTCTGTACTGTCTTCATATCAAGCCTTACAGCGATCCTGCAAAAGGGCATTAAGATCTTTGGTGCAGATGATGAACTGTAGCTTTAAGCTTTTAAGTCATTTACCAAGTTCACATAGATGGGAGGTGGAAGAGCATGTATCCCAAACCAGCACTTCTGATTTCCAGGCTACCACCCTCTTTCCCTTCACCAGCGCAGGACCTTCTACCTCTGGGGAAGGAAATTCAATACTGTCTCTTGACTTTAACAGCATATGCTATCACAGAATGAAGATGAAATTATGTTTTCTACATTTATAAAATATAAAATATAAAAAGAATTATAAAATATTATAAATAAATTTATAAATAAAATTATAAATAAAATTATAAAATTATAAATAAAATTATAAAATATAAAAAGAGAAGGAAAAAAGAACAAGGGTTTAAAAAAAACTACAAATATATCATTGAAAATGAAATTGAGGTGAGGTATCCTGCACAGCCATGTGTTTTGGTAAAAAAAAGACCCACAGCTTCAGAGCATTTTCACCTTCTCCTACATGAAGAGAGAAGGAAATGGGGAAGAGTGCTACATTTTTAAATCCCATCATTTCTCTAAGGAACTATGATTGCTTTCTTGTAGCTAACATAATTTCTAACATTTTGTCTATTTGCAGACCATCTTAAACACTGGAAACATCTTGAAGGTTACAGTGAAAACACAAGATCTGTAGCCAAGCAAACCTGGGTTTGAATAGGAATTCAAGCATCTAAGTTATAGACCTTGGGAAAGTGAGTTAATCAAGCCCTACTCTAGAGATGGGCCTCAAGTTTCTCACCTCTACAATAAGAAGTTTACAGTAATAATCTTGTGGGATGGTGGTGAGTGTTATATGGGATAGTGAATAAAACACTTATATATTATAAATTTTAAAAATGTTACTTCTTTCCTTTTGCATTATATAGATTCACATCATTCTCTAACTCCTATTCCCAAGTAACACACAATCAAGTGGATTTCAATAATTTAATAAATATTTGAAGAAAGAAAGAAAGAAAGAAAGAAAGAAAGAAAGAAAGAAAGAAAGAAGGAAGGAAGTAAAGAGGAAGGAAGGAAGGAGGGAGGGAAGGAAGGAAGGAAGGAAGGAAGGAAGGAAGGAAGGAAGGAAGGAAGGAAGGAAGACAGGCAGAGGGAAGAAGGGAGGAAGGAAGAGGAAGAAAAATCTTTATTAAGAACAGTTCTAAAATGTGGTGGAGACATTTTCCTTCTCTGAACGATCTGATATTGTTCTATCAGCAGAGATTGGAAGCACTTGTAGTTATCCTGACCTTGTCCTCTTTCCCCAGAAGTGACATAGAGATATAAAAACTTCTTGTAACACTTCTGATAATATCATGAGAAATTGGGGCGCCTGGGTGGCTCACTCAGTTAGGCATCTGCCTTTGGCTCAGGTCATGATCTCAGGGTCCTGGGATGGAGCCCCATGTAGGGCTCACTGCTCAGCGGGGAGCCTGCTTCTCCCTCTCCCTCTGCCCCTCCCCCCACTCGTGCTCACGTTCTGTCTCTTTCTCTCTCAAATAAATAAAATCTTTAAAAAAATATCATGAGAAATTGGTCATTGGTTCACGAAGCAGAACCTCCTGCTTGAAAGACTTGTAGTTCTGTTTGCTTTTATCATGCATTCATCACTGGAATTGTTACAGAAATATATTTTAGGGCCACTGATCTCCTTTCTACACACAATTATACATTTATTTTTCAGACAAATAATCAGCTGTCTAATGTAAACCTAAGAGACAGAGGAATTTCCCAATGCCCAGTCTAAGATTGGTCTTAACTAAACTTTTCCTGTTTATGCCACCTCCAGTTTCTGTTTCCATCCTTGCCTAAGAGGAGAACATCTACAGGTTTGGATCGCCATCTCCACCCTAAAGAAAGGCTAGTTTCTTTTATTGTTTCAGAGTCTGAAATGTGAAGTGTGAGATTATTAAGTACGTGGTGGGTGTTGTCAAATGGATCATATCAATGCAGTTCCTCTATTTCCTACCACCATTAGTGTATAGACAGATATCCTGGGTAATTATAGGCATTTATAATTAGGTTTTGATGGGGAACTGTTTCAAGAAAATGATTTATTCAGCTGTGAACCAGATTAGTAACAGCCGGTTGTTGGCAAGATCTCCCACTCTAACTGAAAACACAGCAAGAAGTGTTGATACAAAGAGAACTTCAGAACTATGCTGAAAGTTTCATTATTTTGCCAAAAACAATTGCATCACTTCCTTGGAACATAAGTACGTGCCTTGTGAACCATTATTTAGCTTTTTTAAAAGTACGGGGGGTGGTTTGTAAATATAGGGATGAAATAAAAAAGAACAGCCAATGGAATTTTATTGGCACAACCTTTAAGTCAGGATCGGATTAACAACATGTGCATCAGAAACAAAGGCCAAACAGTGTCAATGTGATCATGGATAGCCTTTAGAGGCCTCCAAAGTTCCATCATGAACTGGTGTCAACAGTTGGACCTTGACATTAAAAGAGTAGGAGAAGCAGTTGACCCTTAACCCAAGATGAGACTTTAATTAGCTGATAAAGGAGACGTATAATTGCCTGTTATGCTCTTTTAAAGGCAAATCTACATACAAGCACAAAATTGTAATTAAAAATCTCCAAATAAGCTAATCTAGCTCAAGAAGGCACTAGCTAGACTACTATTACCCTCAGTGTTCACTAATAGCATCATATACCTATTTAAATGCCTCTTTCAAATGACTTTGTACATCCTTAATTATTCTCTTTTTTAATTTTTTCTTCAGAGATTTTATTTATTTATTTATTTTGAGAGAGATTTCACGTGCAAGCAGGGGGAAGGGCAGAGGCAGAGAGAGACTCTCAAGCGGACTCCACTCTGAGTGTGGAACCTGATACTGGGCCAATTTCATGACCTTGAGATCACGACCTGAGCCGAAATCAAGAGTTGTACGCTCAACCAACTGAGCCACCCAGGTGCACCTTAATTACCCTCTTTCAAGTGGGTAGCATCTAGCTTCCCTTAAAACTTCAACCTCTAGGTGAGTATATTGCTTTTATTTGGAAACTACCAGGGAAAAAATCTGACTGTTCAAAGCAATGAAATCAACTTGAGTTGATAACTTTACAGTTAGTCCTACAACTTCCCACTCTTTCCAACATAAATAGAGCAATTTGACTTTAGTCTAATTTGATCATTTATAATCTGATACAAACAACACAAATATCTTTCCTAACACTTGTTTATGAGCTTTGTATTGTTTATTTACTGGAAAAACTTGCAGATATTTCAGTGTCAGACATATGATCACTTTTGATTTATCTTTCCTAATTGGAGCCAGGGCTGGCATGCACATTGAGATTTTTATTCAATCCCTAAACCCATTAAATCCAGAAGCAGCACCATTTTAGGTCTTATTATTTTGGAGTGTACATGTGGCTTCCTCCCTGAATCAACCAACACATCTGTTAAGGGTTGAATTGTCTCCTTCACCCCTAATCAAATTCATATGTTGAAGTCCTAACCCCCAGTATCTCAAAATGTGACCTTATTTGAAAATAGGGCCACTGCAGACCCAATTAGTTAACATGAGGTCATACTGCAATAGACTGGTCCACTATGACTTGTGTTCTTATAAAAAGAAGAAAATAGGATGTAAGACACACACATAAGGGGAACACTATGTAGGGTGATATGTCTACAAGCCAGGGAATGCCAAAGATTGTTAGCAAACCACCAGAAACTAGGAGAGTAGCATGGAACAGATTCTCCTGTGACAGCTCATGGAAGGAAGCAACCCTACCAATTCCTTGATGTCTAACTTACAGTCTCCAAAAATACAAGAAATAAATGTCTGTTGTTTAAGCCCCCCAGTCAGTGGTTCTTTGATATAGAAGCCTAGCAAACTAATACACCTTCTTCACTACTGTGCCAGCAAATAGTCTCATTGGCTCATTAATGATTCCTTTTTTTATCCCTGCTCCTGTATATTAAATGGGAATATTTGCATGTTAGCTGTGATCCCAGGAGTTAGCCTTCAAAATGATGGCTATTTTTAAAACGGACAATATCTCTAAGCAGTGCATTGGCCTTCCAAAGGATGAAAAATAGTGAGACTTAGAAGGAGAGCAAGACAGTTTGTCTTCTTCTTATACTTTCCTTTAAAAAATATTGTAGCAGCTCAGTCAGTACATACTAATAGTGAAAAACATTTTGATAGAACTATGAACATCAATCATAAATAGAGTCAATTGGGCTTTCGACCAATGTCCTTAGATGGGAGCTAAGCAACAGAAGGATTTCAAGTAAGGAAATAA